TTTAGGAATTTTTGTTGCTTCATTTTGGAGAGACCGTCTCCTCACCCAGTGCACTCACTGCCTGCTGGCTAACCCCAGCTCTTGTCTCTCATGTTTCCTCACAGCTGACTCTCTAACGTGTCCTCGGTATCATTCAGCGTCTGAATCATTCACCCAAATGTCTGAACCAACTCCACCAGCACCATCTTGGCTGCTGGTGGTATCTCGTTCAGCCGCCAGCTGAAGGTCACTTTAAAGGAGATTTTTGTAACTACTTTAGCAGCAGTTTTTCACCCCCAGGTGTGTCATGATGTTTCTGTTTACCCCGACTTCCTTCAGAGGTGTCACCTTTGCCACAGTTGCAAATAAAAACATTTGTTTAACGACTTAACTGATTAAATAAAGATTCCACTGCTCCATCTTTTGGAACATCTTGGTATCATACCAGCCCCGCCCTGATTTCCTCCACTTTAACACCAACGCTGCTTCTTCACATTCTGTTGATAGTTTTAGTTCATTTTGGAAGATTTTAAACGATTTTAAAACCCACAATTCTTTTGAGGATGTTGTTGTATTTACTGGCTCGGAGACTTTTCCTAACAGCAACACAAATCTCCTCCTTGCGTTTTCCCTCCTGGTGTTCTCTGACCTGTCGGGCTCTGGGGAATCTTTCGTGTTTCAGCCTGTGTAGCTCCACCCACTCGAACCCCAGGCTGCAGTGACCCCCCCACCCCCGAAGCTGTCTCCAGGTCGAATGCTTAAACGCATGCCTGAAAAGCTCAGCCGTGATTTCACATGCCCTGCCGTCACTATGCTCTGCAGCCACTGACAGATTGTCAGGACACGCCCTCCGAACGATGAGTGAGCTGCTGTGCAAGCAGTGAAACACTCTACTGCAAGGTTTTCTGCTGTGTCCTTTAATGGTTTGCACCAAATTTATGTTCCTATGCATGATAAAAATCTTCATCATGTGCAAGTTTATTGCTCAAACATTTTCTGTTAGTGCAACTTCTCTTTTGTCTTCTTGTTGCATTTCCTCCCTTTTTCCTGTCTGTGGTCTAAAGCAGTGATTCTGTTTCCCACAGATAAATATTCTGGACTAAGCACATTTTAAACTGTCCATGAGAGCAGCGCTTGAGTTTTGGATTGGTAACAAAAAGGGGGGGATGTGTAACGGGCCACGAGTCTCTTTGTGTTGTTCGACATCACTCTGGAGTCATTTTGGTTCTCTTCATGTTTCCTTCCTTTAATTTTATGTGTTTTTGTGTCTCTTTGTTATAGTTTTGTTCTACACAGCATCGTCAACTTTGTGTTTTGGGGTTTTTTATTCCCAGTTTACTTACTTATTGGACATTTGGAGTATCTTTTCTTTACCATACCATCTGCTTGGATTGGTGAACATTTCTTTTTGATCGTGTTCAATTTGAGTCTTTTTGTTGGACTTTTGGTAATTGGCTGTTTGTTGTCTTTGCTTCTGTGTGTTTTTGCAGTTGTGTCTTTCATGTCATTTTCCTTTTTGAAGCTCGTTGTCATTGTGAGCCACCTTTAGTGTCCTTTCAGTTTCTTCATGGTTGACTTTTTAGAGCTTTTTGTGATTGTGTTCTTTTTTCTCTTTGTGTTTCATTTTCAGTTTCTTTGTGGGGTTTTTTGTCTCATCATCTTTCCACATTTCTTTTTGGTCTTGTTGTATGTTTATTGCCTCTCATTTGGCATCTTCTTGCAACTGCTCTCTGCAGTCAGTTTGTGTCTTCGTGGACATTGTTGCTTTATGTTTAGTTTGTGGCAGTCTTGCTATTGTCTTGTTGCCTTTTCGTCTTGCTTTGTGGTTGTGTTGCAGTATTTCTGTTGTTGTTTTGTGTCTGGCATCTTTGCTCATATTTAGCAAACCATATTTTTTTGTTTAGTTTTTCTTTTGTGTATTTTTAGAGCTGTAATTTCTTCTTTGCCACCTGTTCAGATTTCTTCAGTATTGGAACTTGTGACTGATCTTTCTGTGGTTGTTCTTTGCAGACAGTTTGTGTCTCTTTGTGTCTGCTTTGTCTGAGTCAT